TAAGTTCAGGGTCTGTACATCTAGCTATTGTTTACTTAATCTCCTCATTAGTATATCATTAACCTGAAAAATATATCCTTTGCTTGGGAACCTCAGAAACTGGGATGGAAACTTGACAAAGTAGGATTCAGAAAAGTAGGGTATCCAAAAACTGTGGTGTGGTGCAAACTTTAGGGTGAACTAAATGTTTCATGTACTACCCTTATCACCCTTCGTGCAATGAACTCCTCTTCAAACATGGTTGTAGTTCATTCACTGATAGTAGGTCTTTTGTCCATTTTGGATGAATGTTTAAGTCATTTACCCTGACCATATCCATTTATTAAACTGGACCGGTCTAGTGCTATTTCTCTATGAATTTTCTTAATATCGCAGAAGCTTAAATTGAACATAAAGTAAGACAAAGTATCACAGGTAAAAGAATGCTAAGTTTCTTACACTTGACTGTACAGCAAGAAAAAACACTTAGGACAAATATCCTGCAGGAATATTATGAATGTCCTATAGTAGAACAATGGAAGGAGTTAGGAGAAGGGAGGCAATTCATCTTTTAAGATAAATATATAATATTGCAGTATTTTTTAACTGTTTGAGGATTAGCATATGGTACTTTCCATTTGGAAAAAAACATCAGGGATATCTCCTTGTGCCCTTTAGGCCTTGAAGCTCTAACGCTGGGATACTTCGAAATGTCACCAGCTGCTTCCTGCACATGCCACTGTGCAGTCCCTCCTCCCAAGGCACAAAGAGAGTCTTGGAAAGAGTGGATTTGCATGAGATTTGAGAAGGAAATGCCCTTCAGATATAACCTCAGAAAGACATCAAGAAAATGGCAAAAATTACCTAATATAGGCTGGGCAAACCCAGTGTTCCACTGGGTTGATTTGTTCAAAATTAGTTATGGTAACTTGTCCTCTGTGATTTGAAAGGCCTACCAATCATGAGCCATTCTTCCTAGTAATTAAAGGCCTTTTTCAAGGGTGAGATGTGATTGCAACCTGAGCCACCATGACAGCCCCATGGAAGGCAGTGGTGTTGTGTTTTTAGGGGTTCAGTCTTTCCTCAGAGCACAGTGCTCTCTCCTGAGTCACAATTTCAGTTTGGTCTCAGGGATAAGGCGTCTTGGGCACCTGTGTGATTACAAATCTGATTTCAGAGATTATTGAGATGTTCCCTTTTTTTTTTTTTTTTTTTTTTTGAGACAGAGTCTCACTCTGTCACCCAGGCTGGAGTGCAGTGGTGCGATCTCGGCTCACTGCAACCTCTGCCTCCTGGGTTCAAGCAACTCTCCTGTCTCAGCCTCCCGAGTAGCTGGGATCACAGGTGCCCACCACCATGCCCAGCTAATTTTTGTACTTTCAGTAGAGATGGAGTTTCACCATCTTGGCCAGGCTGGTCTTGAGTCTTGAACTCCTGACCTCTTGATCCACCTACCTCAGCCTCCCAAAGTGCGGGATTACAGGCGTGAGCCACCGTGCCTGGCGGAGATGTTCTTGTGAATGCCACGAGATGACCTTCATGTGTGGTAGAGGCTGAGGTGGACTCTGAGCTAAGGCTTCTTTCTGAGAAACATCTATGTTTTGTTGCTAAGGCAACAAAGTCATTCAGGGCAGACTAGGAGCTACTTTACATGTGGAAAGTATTATTGACAGAAATAATCTGTGAAACTGGGCCAGGAGCACATTTTTTCCTGATTTAACACGTTATTTTTTTTCCTTTTGTTCTTTGGCCACCTTTTCTGAAAACCCTTTAATGAAGAAAAGTCAATCCCTAAAGCAACAGAAAGTGAGTGTAATTCAAGAGAAAGACCATTCGTAAATTCATAGACATAGGCAGGCCCTATCTAGAACCTCTCATGGAATCTTTGCAAATGTTACAAGTCTAAAGGTTTCTATTTTAAGGTCTTATATGAAATATAATATTCGAAAATGCACAATTAGCATTACTGTTTTCTTTCTCCCAAGATATTCCCTTCCTTTTTCCTGCACTTTCAGATGAACATTAAAACCTGGTAGAAATGCACCTTTCAACAAACTGTTGTCCCTAGCCAGAGTTTACCAGAAGGCAAGACAGATAGAACTTTACATACTGTCAGAAAGAAATGCATTTATTTCAGGTCAAATATTCAGGAAATTCAGCAATTTTTCCTAAAGGGATAAATATAATATGGTAGCTAAGAGCAGACTTCTGGGTTTCAATCTTCAGTCTATCCCTTACTAGCTCTGTAGCCTTGGACCCATTGCTTAAACTCTTCGTGCCTTAGTAGACTAATCTGTACAACAGAAATAAGAATAGATCATGTCTCAAAAGGTGGTATTAGTATTAAATGAGTATTTAAAACTTTACCTATACATAATAAATATACAAAAAATAAATGTTAGCTACTATAGAAGTTTCAAAATAAATAACCTTCCTTGTGCCCATTAGAGAATACAGAATTACTGAATTTTAGAGGGTTTCTTTGCACAAATTGCAAAAGCAGCTTCTTTTAAAATTGTCTAATAAAATGATAATGGATAAAAGTAAATGTCACTATAAAATATTATTTCCAGATTGAGGAACAAAAATAGCTTATTATGTCTTCAAAGTATAGTACCTTCTGGGAGGCAAGATGAAATCATTCCCTGAAAACTGATTTTTATGACAGTATACTAATAAATGTATAAAATGAAAAAAATAGCTGATGATCAATATGACATGAATCTGCAGCTAACAGATCCAAAGAGTGTAGAAATTATATAGAAGTTAGTAATAGTTTCAAAGTAAGAAAGTCAAGACCTTAAACCAGAACTATGACTAGAGGGAAAAGGGGAAACTCACACCCACTTCATAGACTCCCAGAAATCCCCAACATCCCCTAGAAATTGACAGCTTTCCAATTGGCAATGAACTTTTTTCACTTGGCAGTGAACTTTGTGATTAAAACTTAAGTGGCAATTTTATGTCATGTATATTTTACAAAAGAGAGGCCCTTGGGAAATTGATGAAGTGCTCAAATGCTTTTGGAAAAATGACTCCTTTTATGATTATGCTGTAAAAGTCAACCACAAAGTGCTATTATGTCAGAAAAATTATAACCAACTCCCCAAAACACACTTGACGCATTATTAAAAATTAATGCACTGTTGAAATTAAAAGCTAAATTTTATTGAAATAATTTTTAACCCTAAGTGATAACACTATTAGACATAAAGAATTGAGCCAGGTATGGTGGCTCACACTTGTAATCTCAGCACTTTGGGAGTCCAAGGCAGGAGGATCCCTTGAGGCCAGGCATTCCAGACTCAACTGGGCAACAAAGCGAGAGCCCATCTCTAAAAAAAAAAAAATTTACGATTTAGTCAGACACAGTGGTGTGTGCCTCTAGTCCTAGCTATTTTGGAGGCTGAGGCAGGAGAATTGCTTGAGCCCAGGAATTCAAGGTACAGTTGGTTATGATCATGCCACTGTACTCCAGCTGGGGCAACAGAGCAACATCCTATCTCTAAAAAAGAGAGAGAGAGAGGAAGAAAAGGAGGAGGAGGAGCACCTTTTTATGGACCATTCCCTACCATACCACCACAACTGTCAGCCACAACCTGCATCACCCAAAGCTACAGGCACTATTTCCAGGCCAGCACCACCTCAGTGCCCTCTACAGATGATGGGACCTCGCTGGGACTCTGCTTCAGGCAAGCCATTTGATCTCCAGGCTTTATTTCTCATTTTCAAAATGAAAACGCTAAGCCAGTATGATCTCTAACATCCCTAGTGGCTCAAACATTCTATACTTCTATCACTACTGCAAACCCCAGCTCTGAACCCTGACTTTAAGCCTCTTTTTCACAAACATGAAAATTATCATCTTAGGTAATCAAATAATTCTAAAAATTGTGTGAGCTGTCAAAATATATATTTTCTTTTACTGTAGGATTGTACCTGTAGCCAACGCAATTTTATGAAAACTTCTGTTCATCAATATTCAACAAGGCCATTTCTTTCCCCAGAGAGAATTAATCATAGGCAAGAAGTGAAAAAGACAGTTTCCCCAGATGAAGCCTAAGCACATGCCTGCTGAGAAGCCCATTCTATTTTAATTTGCCAATTAAAAGTGGCCTGGTAAATCACACGCTGTCATTATCTCAATAAAAATACTATACTTGTCACTCTCTTTCCTCTCTCTCAAGTAGCCCAACTGCTCCCTACAACCTCAGTTTAATATCATCACCCTTAAAAAGCTGGCTTTCTTTAGGGTCAGTTGAGGATGGCATCTTCTGCTTTTATTACTGCCACAAATTCCATACCACTCAAATCACTAAGTCGACACCATTTACTGGATATTTACTATGTCCGTGAAATTTACTAAACATTGAGAAGAGTTAAAAAGGAACTAAAAAAGCTTGTTTTAGCAAATTAATGGTCACTCTCATTGGAAAAGAGAGCCTTATAACCAGGCTTTTAAAGATCCCTCCCATCTGCATCTTTTTGTTCTGCATGGCTTGTATTCAACCCCTCCCTATCTGTCTTGGCTGGTTTTCTGTGGACTGATATTACAAGCATGGTGCTGATGGTTGAGAATTCCCTGTAATTAAAAAAGGCTTGATTTCTGTTGGTATAACAATTGTAAATGTCCTTCCCCTATAAACTGTATATTGAGGTGGCATTACATTTGAGAAATAGAGTGGTTTGAATTGTGTCACTTGTTATTGCTTTTCGGTTTCCAATGAACCATAAAATAAATAAAAATCAGGAGTAAGAAGGAAACACAGCAAAGATTCTAGATAATGGCTTATAGTTAATAATGCCTCCCTTTGAATAATATAATAATAAATGATAAAGGTATGCTGCCAACTTCCTGAATGCACTTGGACTTGATGCTCTGTATACATCTGCAGGTTATTATGCATTTCCAAAGGTACTTCCTCAAAGAATCCATTGACTTTTACCTAATAAAACATACATTACCATAGTGCACTAGGGGAAACGCACTCTGCCTGTCTTTAATCAAAGGGTAAGATTACCTTATTGCCTTGAAACCCCTTTGGGCCTGGGTCTCCTGGAGGTCCACTAATTCCCTGCTCCAGGATGAAAACCAAGAATTAGTTCTGTGTACAAAAGGCCAGCAGGAATGAATCATTCTCTAGGGTCCCTGGAGATCCTGGCGTTAGAAGTTAGACTGTGTAACTCAGAGCTTAATTGAAATCACATTCATTCGAGAAGTAGGATGAGATAAAATTTCCTGCGTCAAATAAGTAGCTTCTAAAATAGCACTTATGCTAAGAACAAACATTTAACTAACAAGATGTTTGTTTACTAAACCTGTGTTTCCAATGTTATTCCAACGTTCTTGACTCTTTTCAAAAAAAGATTTTGCCAATTAAGCATCTTCTTTCTTAAAATATCTAAGGCATATGTAACTGAAGTTAGAGCTTCCAATGAATCCGTGATAACCAGAATTACTACCTGGCTCTGACGTTTCCAGGCTAAGGCAAAGAAGTTAGTGGTTAACTAGATGGTGTCTAGGAAATTCTGGGTAAAATTATAATTTTCTGTAGGCTTTTTGAAATACTGAAATTAACTCCTCACATAGAGCACCACTATAACTTTAGAAGAGGTAAGTTCCTAGGCTAGGAAAAGATTCAAATTATTTTCTGAAATCTACGGATGTCTAACTTAAATGCCTTAGAGAATCAGTTCATATTATAGAACATTATCTATAGTTATAGAACAATATAAATACTGTGATTTAGATAAAATGCATAACTTTTCAAACTACATTATAGTAGCAGTGCAAAAATAGTTACATCCTGTTTTTAGCCACTTTGACTTTCTGTCTTTCCAGACTCTGAATTTTTTAACTTCACCCCCTTAGCTACTCACTAATACTTGCCTGATGGTACCTATCTTTAGGGAGTTTTAGTTAAGTCAATGAAAACATTAGGGAAGTTGTTTCCAAAATTTGTTGCACATTGGAATCATCTGGGGATCTTAAACAGTATTAATGCCTGGCTTCAATCCCTAGACATTCTGATTTAATTGGCAGAGGGTGCAAGTGGGTAAGGGGATGTTTTAAAAGCTCCCCAGGTGATTCTAATCCAAAGTTAGATTTGGTTTTAACCCCCTTACCTGAATTCCTCTTGGTCCCTTTGGTCCATATGGTCCTGGGGATCCCTGTGGAAAAAAATTGAAAATAAGTCTCTCTAAATATACATCTTCAATGTGCAGTGATTTTAGATAGGAGGGAAGGAAATGTATTCTCAGTAATTGCCATCTTCCCCACTTATCTTAACATCAAAGGCAATAAATTGAAATAATCCTAATTAACAAGCCAAGGGGCAGGAGTGTCAAACTTTCCTTCAGTAAACAATCTCCATGAAAATACAATTTTAGATGTAAGTACCTTGCCTACATATTGACATTTTGGTCATTTTGGTTAGAGTAAAGAAATTATTTTATTTTATAAGATTCTTTAGAGGGCTATAAACTTACTGGAATATTATTTCCTTCCAAAAGGGTAATGGCAGTTAAATTAACAATGTAGTGCATTTCCATGATATCTAGATCACTCTTTTGCTCATCTTCAAAACATTGAACTTGGCAAAACACTGTTTATAGTCAATGCTCTTCTAATAGAAAATATTTCATTCTGTCCCATAGCCAGGAAACCCTTTAAAATTTATTTTATGAGGGAGAACATAGTCTAGTTTTTATTTCCCCAGATTTCCACTTCCTTTTTTTTTTTTTTTTTGCTTATCAAAGTATAACCTGTTAACTATTGGCACACTTTGACAATTATAGAAACATGTAAATAAAAAATTTGAAAAATCACACAGAGGCAAATGCTGTTAACATTTTAGGCATATTTTCGTCCAGTTTTATTCTCAATATAATTCTCTTCAAATCATATGATCAAAGTGTATGTCTGATTTTGTGTCCTACCTATTTGGCCTTACATTGTATCAAAAATATTTTTCCTTTTTCCACGTCATTAAAAACTCATAGTAAACAGATAATATACAATAATAGGGAACTACCATAATTTATTTACTCATTTCCCTAGTTTTGACCTAAGTAATATTATAGTGAACATCTTTATGTATAAATCTCTGTCCAACTTCTGATTCACTCCTAAGAATAGTCTCCTAGAAGAGGATGACAGAAGCAGAGACCATAAGCACATTTAAGGCTCGCTGGCTCTCTTTTGTCTCACATGCCATATATAGAAATAAAGAGAGAGAAACTTCCTCCATAAAATTTGTTTGTTAATCATTCCCACTACCTGAATATGAGAGAGTGTATCTTCATCTTATGGGCTCCCCATCAACAATTAGTATTACAAATTACTTCACTGTTTGCTAATTTGATAGGTGATATAATACTTTTGTGTGTTTGGTTTTGGTTGTTGGTTTTGTTGTTGTTGTTGTTGTTTGAGACAGGGTCTTGCTCTATTGCCCAGGCTGGAATAGCTCACTGCATCCTCTACCTCCCAGGCTCAAGCAATCCTCCCACCTCAGCCTCCTGAATTGCCCACGCTGCTGATATAATATTTTATTGTTTTATTGTTGGTTTTGTTTTGTTTTTGAGATGGAGTCTTACTCTGTCGCCCAGGCTGGAATGCAATGGCACAATCTCGGCTGACTGCAACCTCTGCCTCCTGGGTTCAAGCGATTCTCCTGCTTCCTGAGTAGCTGAAATTACAAGTGCACACCACCAGGCCTGGCTAATTTTTGTATTTTTAGTAGAGATGGGGTTTCACCTTGCTGGCCAGGCTTGTCTCAAACTCCTGACCTCTGATGATCCGCCCACCTTGGCCTCCCAAAGTGCTGGGATTACAGGCATAAGCCACCTTGCCCAGCCTATTTTGTTTCTTTTGAGACAGGGTTTCACTCTGTTAACCTAACTGCAGTACAGTGGCACAATGACAGCTCAATGCAGCCTCAACCCCCTGGACTCAAGAAATCTTCCCACCTCAGCTTCCCAAGTATCTAAAATTACAGGCACATGCCCAACTAATTTTTAAATTTTTTGTAGAGACGGGGCCTCACTATGTTGCCCAGGCTGGTCTCAAACTCCTGGACTCAAGTGATCCTTCCACCTCGGCCGAACATTTTAATATATTAATTTCACTTATCTGATTGCTACTGTATTAGGATATTTTTTCTTATTTATTAGCCATTTTAATTTCCACTTCTGTATCTCTTCATGTTGCTCATATGTTTTTCTAAATAAACTTGTATAAACTCTGTGTCAAGGACACGATATCTTACCAGCTCTAAGACACATTTTTTCATGTTTTTATATCTCTGACATTGTGGTGTATTTTACAATCAATTGCACCTTACATTTATAATTGGCAGTGGGTTTTTTTTTTCGTTATTCCTTTTTGGCATGGAAAATAATGGGACATTTAACAATCCCTGACATCTTAGTCAATGAAATATGATATCCTTTGTCAACCATTTTAATTTCATCTAGTTTTCCCAGATATTGTTTGACTTTCATTTCTATTCTATTCTATGTGTGTCCCTTTTTCTGTATTTCCAATATCCAGGTCCATCTTGCATGTTCAGTTATACTCCAGGAAGAACCTATTTATTTTCATATTTCCCATTTTGACTAGAGATAATTACTAAGCCTACCTTTTGCAGATCCACCTGACCTTTAACTCTACAGTAGTTTAAAAGCATTCAGAAAGTCTCAATCTATTTACAGTATTTAGTTCCATGGGCCAATGTGATTATCTCACCCTCTTCTCCTAACCTACTGCCTCATTTTCTCTTCTTGACTCCCTTCCAGAATTATAACATAGAAACTGAAAAAGTGTGGTATCTTGGTGGCATGATGTTAATAGTTCTTAATATAATGAAAACTATTTATTTTTACTCTGCACTTTTTTGGACCCTTTAACATCATGTTTCAGATATACTTTCTGTATATATTTGGCCTTTTGAGGAACTATTTAACATCCTTAATATTATTTCCAAATTTAAGTGCTTTCTATTTATTTATTTATTTATTTATTTATTTATTTTTGAGATGAGTCACTCTGTCACCCAGGCTGGAGTACAGTGGCATGATCTCCGCTCACTGCAACCTCCGCCTCCTGGGTTCAAGCAATTTTCCTGTCTCAGTCTCCTGAGTAGCTGGTACTACAGGTGCACACCACCCTGCCTGGATAATTTTTGTATTTTTAGTAGAGATGGGGTTTCACCATATTGGTCAGGCTGGTCTCGAACTCCTGAGCTCAGGTGATCCACCCACCTCAGCCTCCCAAAGTGCTGGGATTACAGGCATTAGCCACTGTGTCCAGCCTATATTTATTTTTTAAATAAAGGTGAATATCTATCCAATTGTCTGTGTCTACATTTTCAAAAGTCCAAATCTCTATGTCTAGTTGCACCACACTGTTTGTAACTATTTCACCGACTTATTTCGGAGTTCTTCACACTAGTTTGGAAAGTGCCTGTTTTCAGTGTTTGCATCTGGAAAGCAATTCTACTTTGACCCAACTGCAGCTTTAATTAACTTTGCTGGTTAAATAATTCTTTTTACCGTAACATTCAGGAGGTGTGGCCTCCAAGGTCAGGGTGTCACAAAATGAAGTCTTAATGGTCCATAAGAAAGGCATTTGGGGGCTCTATTATTGAGTCAGGCATCACTTTGTTTTCTACCACATGTTTTACAGATGTGAAAAATTGAGCCATTGATTCCAACTCTAGTAGTGAGATCACCATAATTCAGCCCAGGAATTTCCCCTTAAGGAAACGCAACCCAAAAGGGATCACAGCTGTAAGCATTTTAAAAACATGTTCCTTACTTTGTCACCTTTTATTCCTGGTTTACCACATTCCCCACGTTCACCCTAAAAAATAAATAAGTGAAATAAATAAGAGAACACTTGCAGTCATTCACTATTAAGAATGCTTGTTTGTTTGTTTGTTTGTTTTTTAAATTCCCAGCACTCGTGTAACATAAGCACTCCGCTGCTTTCTACACAATCTTAGCCTCAATACTGTGGGTTGTATGGGCATTGAAATCTGATTATTTTTACCCATGAGTCATCCTTAACTTGACTGGAACAAATCAGGAACAATGTAATAAGATTTGATATTTTTAAGAAATGGATGAAACTAGAAGAAAAGAAACCTAGCATCTAACCACATATTAGAGGCCCTTTGCATATGTGGTTTAACTGAATCCACATAATGGCCCGACGAGATGAGCTTTATCATTCTTATTTTATAATTGAGAACATTTAAACTCAACAAGATAACTTCCCTCTATCAAATAGCTAGTAAGTAAAAGAATCAGAGTCTGAACCCAGATACTCTAACTTGGAATTCCTATTTTTTTCAAGAACACCATGCTTCAGCCTGAGTACCAACCTTGATCACCCAGTAGTGTTCACCTGGAGAACTGTGAGAGACAGGTTCTGAGATAAGATTGCATTGTGAGTTAGTGGGAACAGGTGCCATGATGAGTTAGCGAGGTCTGCTGTAGGAGAGCGGGACTTGGCAGCAAGCATGCTGCATATTTTTCATTATTATGCTCTACTTCCCTGTCTTCCCTAGAATATTGCTAAAAAACATTTGAGTTGTGCTTTAGAGTTTATCAGTGATAGTGTATCATATTTTATCTCAGTTAATCTGACATTAACTGTCTGAGATAAATATTAATCCAATTTTATAGACTAAAAATTTGTAATTAAGAAGGTTAAGTAAAGAGAATGTGGTATACAAGGGAATATTATTTAGCCTTTAAGAAAGAAATCCTGTCATTTGTAACAACATAGAGGAACCTGAACCTGGAAGACATTATGTTAAGTGAAATAAGCCAGGAACAGAAAGACAAATATGGCATGATCTCACTTATATGTGTGATCTAAAAAATTTGAACTCACAGAAGCACAGAGTAGAAGGGTGGTTACCAGGGGGAATGGGTGGAAACTTAGGAAATGTTGGTCAAAGGATACAAAACTAGTTAGATAGGAGCAATAAGTTCAAGAGATCTATTGTTCAACATGATGACTATCATTAATAACAACGTCTTGTATTGAAAATCACGAAAAGGGTATATTTTAAGCATTCTCACCACAAAACCTGATCATTATGTGAGGTGATGCACATGTTAATTCGCTCAATTTAGCCATTTTACAATGTACACGTTTATCAAATTATATTTTATACAAGACAATAAATATGAACTTTTTAGATTTGTCAATTAAAATTTTAAAATAAAAATAAATATTTTTAAAAGGTTAGTGTCCTCAAGTAGAATGAGAATTGGGACCTCTGAATACTAATTCATTAGATCAGACTTTTGAGGTTTCTAATAATTAGAACTAAAAGGTGACAGTCAGAAAAATGACTAAAGTTTCATAATCATATTAATATTATCTCATTTATAAATCAATTTAGAATTTTCAAAATGCTTTTATATATATATCGTTATTTTGATCCTCAAATCAATTCTCACTTTCAAGATAAGGAAACACAATTGGAGATGTCAAATGATTTACTTAAATGTACAGGCTACCCAATGACTCCTAGTCCAGTGCTCTCAACACTAGCTTCTGCTGCTGCTGCTTTATTCTGCCTCTGTACTGCTCTATGGCGTGTTACTGGAAGTGCCACTACACAATGACATAAGGAAATTGCATTCAAATGTAAATCAATGCATTGCTTCCTTCATCATGGAAGTCTTGCTATAAAAAATAAATGTCAGGTGAACTTTAAACAGTATACGTAGTGATATAGTGGATTTATATGCTGGTGGAAGCTTTATCTTGCTGCAGAATAGCAAAGCACAGACTGGCAACCAGCTTGCAGACCACAGTTTTAATAGCAGTGCTCTACGGAGGGAAATCACAATTGTAACTTCCAATTATGAATGTAAAGTGTGTGCCATAGCCTTTACATTATTGCTAATCCCTATAGTGGCCTTGTGAGGTACATATACATATCTCCACTCACAGATAAGCAAAATGAGGCTCAGAGAGATAACATACTTTGTTCATGACCACAGACTTGAGTCTGTTAGGCTCTCAAGTCCATGTTCTTATCAGTCACCCGTAGCTGAACAAGGCACACACTTATAGGCTGCAAGTCACTTTCCATTAACCTAACATTTCTGCCTAGGGTACTGCCTGGGCTCTTCCAGGCATCAGAAGCAGGGAAGAGGGAGGTGTGACTCTTAGAGCCAGCTATGCCTCTGATCAAAAGCAATCTGTTCTCTCTTCACATCCTTTTGTGAGTCAAACTGACCCAGGAAAAACTGAGCTTTCATTTAGAACAAGTTGAACATTTATTTCTGAATGCAAATGGAAAATCACTTTTGAAGAATCAATTAGAAAGCAATTAATTTAATAATTTTGGATGGGAATAAAATGAGTCAACCACCAAAATATAAAACAGAAAAGTACCATAAATACACTCAAAATGCTTTTGGCTAGAATTTACATTCCATTTGTCCAGACAGATTTGTTAGCTATAGGGGCCGGAGGAACAGCATTTGTTTTTTGCAGGGCACAGATTGCCATCAATGAAAATATTGTATTCATGTTATTTGCCTCTGCAAAGGCGTTTTCCTTTTTGGTAGGCTCATTAATCCCTGTGGAATGGCCACAACTACATAGTTTCAGAGAGCGAGTACTTCAGAAAGCCATAAACAGATCAGCTCTGTTCTCAGCCTCTATTTTCTGATGCTGCTGCTCCTGGTGAAATTCTGGTTTGAATGTCGATGGTTCAGGGTCACTTTCCTCTAACAGCTTGTATTTTCCAAGTGAGAACTCTTCCAGTGAATCAATAATTCTCCAGAAAGTAAAATGAATCTTTTCAAAAAATATATGTATAAAGCTTCCTTGTGTTGATAACTACCTCACTATATAAATCAAAATGGAGGAGGAGGGCACCCATAATTTTCCTCAACTATATACACAGTTGATAATATTACAACTGTGAAAATTTTTTAGTTTTCTCATACTAATGTTTGTTCCTTTCCTCTTCATAGTGGCACTTACATTTGTAGACAAGCCAACATTTTGGAATACATTGTCATGCCCACTATTTGGTTCTCTAACCACTCTGTAAATTAGGCAAGCCTGTACAAATTTTATCCATTCAGTTGAAGAAACAGATACTCCAAGACGTTGAATTACCCAAGTTCTTAAGGCTGCTAAGTGTAGAATCATGGGATTTCTTACACTCTTCCCCTTGGAGGCCTAACATTTTCAGCAATTAGGATATATTTATTGGCTTGCATGTAGGCTCACCCCTAATATTTGCAGGGCCCAGGGCAAGAGTGTAAGTGGAAGCCCACATACCATGTGTCTAAATAGTTGAAAGTTATAACTAAACTAATAATGTTCTGACTTCCTTCTTTAACAAGTATGTCTTCAAAAGGAATAAAAAATTAAAAGACTTGTGAATCCCTCAGAGGTCCTTTCCAGACATAGACCCCTGCAGCCTGGCCCCCACTTCACTTCCCACCTCCAACTCCTTCCAAAGCAAGAAGAGCATGAGCACACATGTGAAGATGCCCCCGGCAGCACAACAAAGCCCCCTACATGACCTCTCCTGCCCCAACAAACAGCTCCCATTTGGCTCCCCCTCCAGCCTAGAAAGATGTTGGATATGGAAAGGAGGTTTTTGTATGCCCTCCCAGCAGCAGGCCTTTTGGGGTCTTGGTTACCCAATGTATGATCCAGGAGAAGGAAGCACAGACCTCCTGCAGACTCCTGGCTCCATGGGAAGTAGGGAGGCCAGAGGAGACTCACAGCTGGACCCTCTAAAGTTCCAGCCTCTTTCCCATGCCTGAGGGTTGTAGCCCTGTAGGATGGAATGGATGATAGGTGCATGTTCTGATTCAGATAGAAAATCTGATAATAATGAGAACTGTGGGACAGACTAACCAATGAACCAGTGAGCACTCTCAGAGGCTCCTGAGCCCCAGTACAACTTGTTAAACCCTTTTAAAGCAGTTTGGTATCCTAATTTGTAACTCACAAATAATCATCAAATCATCTACCAACCCATACCTTTAGTTTGCTTGTTTGCCAAATTTACTCCCCTGAGAGCTCTACCCAGTTGCCTAATTCAATGAAGTCAGTGGCTCTTCACTGCTTAGCCAGGATAAATCCTCTCTTTCCCCTGGAAGAGGATTTGGTGTCTAGGTTTTCATAGGAAGTTAAGCACCAAGGGAGCAACCTACTTGCAGTATTGCTGAATCTGTTTGTGTAAAGAAACTTTTAGCCTGCATACCTGTGCTGCATGGCTTATAAACTGGGGTTCTCTATTAAAATAATTCATGTTTGCAAAGCTGAAGGAGGCTGGATTCTAATCTCAGGAATCTTATGGTACCCTCCATCCCTATAACACACATCCATATGTTAAGTTCTATTATTGCTTTATGTTAACTAAGGAATGAGGGAATCCAGACTTACAAAAACAAAGAAAATAACTTTTATTAAGTTCATAAGTACATTTCTGTTTCTGTTTTTCTTTTTGAAATTCTGGTCTATCTATTTGTTATTACCAGCTTACCTTGTCACCCTTGTACCCAGGAATTCCCTAATTTAAAAAGAGAAGAAAAAGTAAAATATGATACTCTAAGGCAAAGTTAGAATAAGGATTAGGTATTTTTCAATTACAAGGTATAACAAAAACACATCCATACCGTCCGGAAAATTAGACCATATAAATGTAAACTGTTTCATTTCTCTTTGTGCTTGGAGAAATGTGCATTTACTGAGGAGAAGAAAATAATCTGTTTTCCCTTTATCACATTTTATTCTCTGTTTCAGGTATTTTTTCATATCCATTTTCTTGCCCTTCGGCCCCAAACTAGAGGCGATAATGTACACTGAAAGTCATTGTAGAAGTGATGGCCTATAATGGTCCCTTCAAAACTGTTATATTGACTTTTAAACTATGAACTATTGAAGCTAAAAATGTTTCACAGAGACTCTGAAAGAAATTGGCTTTGAAAATGAGCTGAGGTAATGGCCTTTAAAATGTGTATAAATATTTGTATCCATTATGGTCCTCCTTTAAAATTCAGTCTAAAATATATAACATCAAGGACATGACAGATTCCTTTATCAGCTCTGATGAGACAGTGACCTTTAAGCTACTGTCTTCTATCTCACACTAAATAAGGGGCCAGCACTTCTGCTGTCTTCTGTGTGTCACCCTTGTGAATCCCGTACAGCCTTTTCTACTGTGTCACTGCCCAAGGCCCTTCAAGAAATACAATAATGAATATTACATGGCCTGGGAAATTAGCAACTCTAAGCAGCAGCAAGTTCTCTTCAAATGAGATTTTTTTGTCTTTCATATAGCTATATTTTTCAAGTATGGAAATAGAATTGTCAGATTTATTTAGACAGCTGAAGAAAGCTATTTAATAAATAAGCTATTATTGCAGTTACATGTGAGTCAGACTACAAAATTTTGTTCTATGCATGACTTTTTTATTAATAGTATTATCTATTTATTTGTTTATTTGTAGAGAGACGGTCTCACTACGCTGCTCAGGCTGGTCTCGAACAAGTGCCCTTAATCACTTAAGGCCACCTAGGCCTCCCAAAGTACTGGTATTACAGGTATGAGCCACTTTGCCTAGACTGACTTTTTTTACAAAAAGAAACTTCACAAAGTAAATAAAACTTCCAAGTGTGTGGTCAATGAGAAATAGAAGATGAACGTAGAATTGTTCCTTATGAGATAATAAGCTATTTAAAAATACAATTATGTTATCTTAGTTTTATTTTACATACTCGTATGCTTTATACATAGAAGACACCTAAGAAATGTTTCCTGAATGAATAACACAAATTTCAGTTTTTTATTGACATTACCAAAGTTTCTGTCAGATTTTTTAATGAAGTTGATTAAAAATACCAAGAGAACAGTTTTTAACATCTCTGGGTCTAAGTCCAGGGCACATCCAGGGGACAAGCAGAGAGTGGCAATGTCATATGGTCTTCTTTTTATTCACTGTACATATCTCTGCTATTTGATACACTTACTGCAATGTCAGAAAAGTGCAAAATAAGAAACACACTGTAATTTGTTCTTGGACAATATCTACTATCTTCTAATTTGGGGAATAAGAAATCAAATAGAATGATACATTTTATTATGTCTGTAGAATTGGATTAAAAAAGCATAGTTTAGACCATGTAGTTCTTATGCTCCTGAAATTCTAACCTATTCCTTATCTTTAAAAACATAAGAAATAAAGCAAATAGTTTTCTCATTGGAGCCTTTCACCAATGTCAAATTAAGCATCAGAGAATTTGATAGGGTTGAACACTCCTGCTCCCGTTTTCACTCCTGTTGAGCTGAGTATTTTCTCCCCACATTTCCAATTCTAAGATCATATCTTTCTGATTGCCTTCCTGAGCCATCAAGAGCACAGGGTAGATAGAAATCACTTTTGCACTTGCACTATAGGGGTCAAAATGGTCAACCACAAAATCAGTAACCTAGGATGACTTTCTTAGGAAGGCATCCCAGTTGTGTACATACCCCAGGACCTCTTTCTCCAGCTTCTCCTTTTTGAGCGTCGCCCTGTGACAAACAAAAAACAGTCAAAATTCCACAACCCTGAAGAGTGACTGGTTGCTCAATAAAATGCATTATACAGAAGATTAATAGCTTAGCCCAATTAGGAAACATCTTTAGTCTTTCCCATTGACATTTTACCCATGCAATCTAGGCAAAAAGAAAAAAAATAGCAACTCAGATAAACTTTGCCCTTTGGAGTGAAGCCAGATGTGTAGGGTGCAGGATCCAGGTACATTTTCACAGCTTACGCCACATCCCGGTTGAACAACACAGCCGTTGTTCTCAAATTCAGCATTATAGTCACTTGGAGCCAATCACTCTGGTTTTTCTCTAAGGGGCTTTGGAATGTTTTCCAAAATGTCCTCAAAAGTAATTGCTTGATTTCAGCAAGATTTAAGAAAATATATTCTGTGGCACAAAATTACAAACCAAAGAAATAAAAGGTGAACATACATTTCTAATGGGTATTTAACACAACAAAAAGAAGACATGATGGCATCAGTTTGAACGTACATAAGATGAGCAAGTATAGGGTTGTTTGGTTGTGCATGTGTGTGTATGTTGTAAAGCTATCCAAGGTTGCTATATTCCCTTTCCTTGACAAGCAGACAATTGCCAAAAATACTTTTATGCATTTAACTTACGATTTTTTTTCATTACCTCCCTAAAAATTTTCTAATAGGGCTGTTTTAGAGTTCATTTATGAGTTAATTTTTAATAGTTAACTTTGTTAGTACTCGAGTGCCTCTTATATATTGCTCCCAAACTATTTGTGTCAAGTTACCTGCAATGAAAAGCAAACCAGTTTCGCTGCCACATTGCTATAATTAGTTATTATTGTTTTAATATTGCTGTGTTAATTACTATAATGAAAGAAATGTTTTTAAACTTCAAAACACACACAAAAACAAACGATGTGAACTAGAAAACCAAGAGAAAAAAAATCCTCATAAGTATCACTACTAAAGGATATCTCATTCTATTTAAATTTATTTTATTACCTAATGAAATTAAATGTGCTTTTACTTTTTTCTTTACTAGTTTTGTTTTCTCTCTTGAAAATTGTGTTCAGAAATTAACTCAGTGTGCTATAGAAATTAAGCCAATGTCCATTACATTTGATGCAAATATTCCCTGATATTTCTATTTCTTTAATATTCCCTCCTTATATTAGGCCATTCTTATGCTGCTAACAAAGACACACCTGAGACTGGTGTCTTTATAAAGGAAAGAAGTTTAATGGCCTCACAGTTCCACAGTGCTAGGGAGGCCTCACAATCATGGAGGAAGGTGAAGGAGGAACAAAGCCACATCTTATAGGATGACAGGCAAGAGAGCATATGTAGGGGAACTTCCCCTTATAAAACCATCAGATCTCATGAGACTTATTCACGATCACAAGAACAGCATGAGAAAGACCCGCCCCCCATGATTTAATTACCTCCCACCAGTCTCTCCCACCACATGTGGGAATTATGGGAGCTACATACAATTCAAGATGAGATTTGAGTAAGGACACAACCAAAGTATATCACTTCTTTTTCTTTAATTATTATTTTTTCATTACACAGAATTTTGCCTTAAATTTTCACATAGTTATATCTACTTTTCTCTTTGTGATTCCTGCTGTTGCTCTTGAACTTGGAACCAAAATCCTAACAATGATCTGAACAGGTGAATGTTTTCTTTAAAAGCCTAGGAAGTTTTTTATTTTTTTATTTTTTTGGTAGGTACTCAGAGAAAAGAATTGGAGAAGTACTTGAAGATGCTCTGGGAGTGAGAAACCATCTGGTGGCTTTTCTATTATTATTGTCAGTTATTCATTAAAAGTAGACCCATTAAAAGCACAAGTGCCAATGTCAGTTTGATATGGAACACTTATTAGCAGTTAATGAAACACTGTCCTAAATAAGATGGGCTGCTATCGTTTAAGTACTAGTTTCTGTTTATTTGATGTCCCCAGGTTTCCTAAACTTACTGACTAAAATGTTCATATGTTACTCAGAATTTGTGAATACAAGCTAACAGAAATAAGATAGATAATATAGGAAGTGGACATCCTGTACTCTTCACAAAAGTTGTCAGATTTTTGCCATATACTACAATGCTTTTTATTTTTAAAATTGTTGTTTTAAAAAAAATCTAGAAGGAGTTATGCTGGTTTAAAGAAAAGCTGTTTATTCATTTACCGGGCTTCCTTTTGGTCCTCGCTCACCTTTGATACCTGGGTTTCCATGTGTACCCTGAAGGCAAAGGGAAAAAATATTATTTTAAGTAGGTATTCTATTGTTTTCTATACTTTATAATAATTTCTGATCAGTTTTGTCTCCTAGAATGAGGGTGAATTGTAAAACCTTTACCTGCCAAGCAGAAATTCAACTCTCTTCTCCCTTTTTCTACACCGGGAAAACCACTGTCGTGAATTGGCAGATTTTCTACATTTGCTCAAAAGAGAATAATGTTTCTCTCTTCCCACCAATTACTTCTTCCCAAAACAATTACTTCTCAGCAGTTTTGAAAACAAAATCAAACTCATGCAAAGATTTAAAAGAGTAGCTGCAACAGGCCAAAGGATAGGAGTTGTTCCCAACCTCTCTTCCTTGTGGGTCACTTCTACAATTCCCCTCTGTTGCTCACTTTTAAAAGGACCAGGCCAGCTTGCTTGCCTTTGGTCAAAGAGGTTCTGATATCCAGGAGACAATCTCAAAAGATGGGAGAAAGGAGCTCTGTTATCGTGTTCCAGAAAAGCATTTTGTTTTCCTGCTCCTAATCAACCAAAAAGCTTGCTTTTCTGAGAACTGGTGTTGGGGGTACTCGATAAATGTTAAATGACATATTCTGTGGCTTATCCCTAAAATGTGACAAGAATGTGACAAAATTGTCAGGTGCTTAGCAAGAATGCTGAGCTTTCTTACTGTTCATTTTAAAACATAAAGAAATATTCCTTACCCTGGCCATTTCTTGGTGTAATGGGGATAAACGAAGACTTTATATGAAGGGATGGCTAAACCTTTGCTTTAGCCAAAGTCAGCTTCTACTGGCTGCCCCATTATCATATAATGCATCTAACTTTGCATTTGAGGAGAAAAAGATCCCTTGATTGGTAGGATGGTTTGAAAAAGTGTAGGCTTTGGATCCGAGTCTCAAGGTAAAATTTGTCACCTTCTAATACATTCACAATACACATTCCCCTCCTGGCCCCAAATACAAGCATTAGTTGAAAATTTTTATCCATGCGTTTTGTGAGACTCTCCATAGGGCTTCTTCTGAACCCTAAGGATGATATTTGTAATTACACAAATAAATAGAAGACTGAATAAGCACGTGGATGCTTTATGAAGATAAATGTTAAAAAAGTGCTCAGCATTTCCAGTGATCTAGATGTCATTTCAAATGCCTTCCCAGTACAGACATGGCACCTACAAGTTATTAGGCCAGAATATAAAGAAAGCACTCCTTCCTGGATTATCTTATCAAATGATGAATCATCATAGTAAATCCTGCCATTTATTTTTGGTTGCCACGTGCTTACTTCCATTTCACAGAAGTCACCCTAATCCCCCAAAGCATCGCGACCAGCTTCCTGTCCATGAGGCCACATGGTGTTGCTGCTGCACTGCTGCATTCGTGTGAAGCCAACATTTAACTTTCAGAGAGGCTTATGCTTCTTGTTTCTAGTGGGATAAAGCTTTGCTTAAAGCACGGATTATTTGTATTAGCTTTTTCTGTATTCAGTTCACTATTGAGAAATTCTGGCTTCAATTATTTTACGAGGAGGGACATAAATGTCCTTTGTGGGAACAACTTCAAAACACTCCTGCCCTCAGTTCAAGTCAGTAAAATCCCAGGCTTATTTCTAAGGATAGAATGCGTCCCTTTAGAAATAAAAGAAAGAAGTAGCATTTCCATTTTTGCTGCCATTTCCAAGCAATTGCTTTTCAACAGTGCAAAATAGCCCCAATGTTTTCAAGAACGAGTAGAGCTATCATTGCTAGGACTTTCTGACTTAAGTTCAAAGTAGAAATATACTCACAGGAGGCCCTGGATCACCTGGATCTCCCTTCTCACATTCACAAATCTTGTGTTCACACTGAATCAATAATGAAATATGATATTAACACACAGTGAAATATAGCATTTCGAATTGTATTCAGTATATAACCAACTGGAACACTTTCTAAGAAATTTTACCTTGCACATTTATGGAGGTTTTGCTCTCTCCATTAAATTATTCTAGGCAAATTTATACCTATCAAGAGCCAGCTAACAAAATATTATTAAATTTCAGTATAGTTAAATAAAATAGACATCCCATCAAAAATACATATATAATATATAGATGCCAGTTAAAAGGAGAAAATAAATATTTTCAGTGGACTTTTAGAATTTCTGCTGCTTCTCTTCTACATAACACATCAAAGCTCAATAATATAATAATATTAAATGCTCCTTTACTAGGCAAAGGAAAACATTCGACTTATACCATATTTTACTAATTCTAAGATGCACCTTCTTCCTCATTTTAACAACTCTGAAATCAGAGTGAGTCTTACAATAGCTGTTGATCAGGTTCAGTCATGACAAAGTAGTTGCTTTTTGCACATGCACTTCAAAACTTACAGAATGAAATGGAAGAAAATTCCAGAACATTCTTAAGACATGCTTCATCACCAATGCTTTCGCTGGCATAGAAGTCAGTATTATGTGGAAAAACAAGGACATCAACAACTCAGACAAAAAATGATTCAGAAGATTTACCAGGGATGTCTAATCTTTTGGCTTCCCTGTGCCACATTGGAAGAAGAATTGCCTTGGGCCACACATAAAATACACTAACACTAACGATAGCTGATGAGCCAAAAAAAAAAGAAAAAAAGAAAAAGTCCATGCATACATTTTATAACGTTTTTAAAAGGTTTATAAATTTGTGTTGGTCCACATTCAAAGTCGTCCTGGGCCGCACACAGCCTGCAGGCAGCAAGTTGAACAAGCTTGATTTAGACTGTGATGTGAAAAAGTTTTAGAAATAACCAAGTTATTTTGCTTACATATTCCCTTATATGTATATATGAAAGTGATACAGGATTTTAAAATCTACGTCCAAAATGTCTAAAAACTTCTTTCTATATGTGTAAAATAAAAATTACAATTAATAAGAAGACACTGTATCATAGTTAAGTTGGCAAGGGTTTTTTTTCTTTCTTTTTTTTTAAACAGAGTCTCGCTCTATCACCAGGCTGGAGTGCAGTGGCGATCTTGGCTCACTGCAACCTCTGCCTCCTGGTTTCAAGTGATTCTCCTGCCTCAGCTTCCCAAGTAGCTGGGACTACAGTCATGCGCCACCACCCCAGCTAATTTTTTTATATTTTTAGTAGAGATGCGGTTTCAGCATGTTGGCCAGGATGATCTCGATCTTCTGACCTCGTGATCCACCCACCTCGGCCTCCCAAAGTGCTGGGATTACAGGCGTGAGCCACCATGCCCGGCCGTTTTTTTTCCTTTCTTAATGGTCCATAACATAATGGTATATCTGAACATGTACAATTTAATTAAACATGGTGCGCTACAGGTTTGGTTAACTCCTATTATTTTATGCAATGATAGTGTAAATTTCCTGATGTTAAATAAGCAGCTCATTGAACAAAGTTCAGATGTTCCAAACTCTTTCTTTTAAGAAGTGCATGTCCAGGACATGACTCCTCAGCAAGCTGATGATTGTCTATTGTGCTAAGGCCCATTCAATCTTACTGGCCAGATTCCTTTGCCACATGGTCTGGTTGCCATCATCAGGCTGCCTTTTCTTTACAATAAGGAGAATGAGCTCAAAGTCAATTGTCTGGCAGCAGGGGATGACTCTAAACTCTGTCTCTTAGCTGGGAACCCTCTGCCTAACCTAGCCAACACTAGGAACACCCCCCAAAATAGAGGACCTGATGTGGCTGATGTCAGATACATGCTTAGAATAAAGGAAGCACATCAAAGTAAGCAACAACTATGTGGTTTGCTTATGACTGATTTCTAAAATCACTCCTGGAATCACATTCAATATTTCCTACTTTTTCCAAATTTTCCAACTTGCATTGAATATGGTAGTATAAAAGAAATCAGATGGCTGCCTCAGAATAGAGTGGCTCATTTTAAAAGAACTAAGCTTTTTTATTTAGTCACACTTAATCTTCTAATATGAATTATAATGCTGATCTGATAATCCAGGTTTTTAGAGTAATTCGTAGTAATCAAAGCATGTGATGCTTACCTTCTTTTCAAATAAGATATCCTACAAGGGAAAAAAGAATGAAGCATTAACTCAATTCATAGTTCTGCTTTCAGCTACTTATTAGTCATAATTATTCCCCATGGCATATGAAGTTTCCACAATTCAGCCTTTTTGTAAAAGCAATGAAGCCAACCAATCAACCACCCAAGGAGCAGTTCCAGCCATGTAATAATAGGAGATATAACTACCATTAAAAATTAATCTATATTTTCTAGGAACTTCATCTTACTGCATTCTATGTTTTATCTTTTGTTTTCTTTATCAGCTCTGTAATCTCCATAATTTGACTATAAAGTTAATCAGTCATAATGAGAAAGCTCTCACTTTTACATACAAAGACTGAGGCAGAATATATAATTTTATATTTTCAATTTTTTCCATCCTTATCCACATATACATGCATCTATTTTTCATGATTTATTTTTCAAGATTAAAATAATATAGTCATAACTTCATGAAATATTAATGGGTGTTAGATCATATTAAAACTCAAAAAGAGAAAATTACAAAGTCCAGTGACATTTTTTGAGATGGTCTGAATTATGAGCAGACAAAGATTTCCATTATTATGATCACTAGGAGAAGGGTCTTCTATTTCAAATTTGAAAAGCCTCTAATATGGTACTTTATTTATAGAATTTCAACATAAGCAAAGAAGATACTCAACTTTTAAATTTAAACAATATTAGGAATAATATTATGGTAAAAATTTTGAACAGTTCATAGTAATATGCATTACTTATGTAAAGACGACCTACATTTATAACTGGCTACCTTAGGAAAAAAATTAAGTTATAGAAAAGTAATAAATATTTCATAATAAAAAGTGATCATTATGAAAAACAAAAAAACAAATATAATGAGTCTTAGAAGTCAATCAGACTCAACCTCTTGCTTTGCAATAAGGAAACATGGTTCCACCATAATGTGACTCAACCAAGGTAACACACTTGGGCTGTGCCTCCTGACAGTCTTCAGTGCATGTCATATGTACCATACAGGAATGAATTAGCCAGAATATTTTTCAAAACTATTTTAAATTTATAATTTTGCAGAAGTGTCAGGATCTTGTTTTTGTCCAACACCTAGGCCTCACTACCATACTTTAATTCAGTGGGATATTACCTGATAAGTGCACTGAAGGCCATGTTGGAAGTCAAACGCTGGTAAGAAACTAACCTATGTTTACATATAGAATTAGTACTTTCTTAACCTAGAAATTATATATCAAATCAGTGCCTAATGATTTCATCTGAAAGGGTAATTTACATACGATAAAATAGAAAGATGAAGGAACAAGCACTGGAATATTTGTTGCAAGATATTAAAAATGCAGAAGCTAACAAGGAAGTTAAATAAGAGTATGTAGCTTTATGAAGGATGCTGCATCCCTTCAGTTTTATTTTTACTTTATTTCCATACAAACTAATAATATAGAGGGACGAGATAACAAAATGCTTTAAGTGGCTATAATTATTTAATAGGGAAAAAATTAGGCTGGGAATTAAGTGTCATTCTGGGTTTCCATCCTGTTTCAACCATTAACTAGCTATGTGGCCTTGGACAAGTCATACAATCCTTCCAGGTAGTTTTCTCCACATATTAAAAAGGATAAAGTTTGACTACACGATCTCAGGAGCTATAAAACCCTAGCCACAGACACTATGTACAAAATTTAGAGTCTGACCTACCACCCTTCCCAACCAAACGATTTAAAATTACTAGCCATGTAAATCCAGGCTGAAAGCAGATGAGATACTTGTATCTTTAAGAGCTAGGAGGTCCTATGGAGAAATAGGAACTCAGATACACTGATAATTTTAGTTAAAATAGTATTACCCTCTGTAGAACATTTGGCTATGCCTACAAAGCTGAAGATGGACATGCATTACCACTAGGCTGCCAGGACAATTCTTGCTTTCGCCTGTTATCCTGACATCCTTTCCAGACACACCACAGGGAAATTCTTGCTCTTGCACATTTCAGCATTCGTTGTTTTTTGTAATGAAAAACTGTAAATAAAATAATTGCCAATAGTGGAATGGATCAGTAAATGAAATACTACTCAGCAGTTAAAGTGAACGCATTGGATCTACGCCTTTCGACAACATTTCCAAAAAAAAATTGAGTGCAAAAGCAAGTTGTAGATAGATACGTACAATATGATCTGATTTATTAAAATATGTAAAATATTTCAAACCACGTCAGAGAGTGGTTTCCTCTGGGAGAAAGAGAGAGAAAAGAAATTCAAAAGAGGTTCAACAGAGGCAGTAAAACAACTAATAATTCAAGTCAAATTGTAATATTTAAAAACCACTACTGAAATAAAGAAAAATTTAAATTTTTGTCACTTTACAATCTTTTTACAATGAACAATGTCTTTTTTTTTTTTTTTCTTTTTGAGATAGAGTCTCACCCTGTCACCTAGGCTGAAGTGCAGTGGCAAGATCTTGGCTCACTGCAACCTACACCTCCCGGGTTTAAGCAATTCTCCTGCCTCAGCCTCTGGAGTAGCTGGAATTATAGGAGCGCACCAACATGCCAGCCTAATTTTTGTATTTTTAGTAGAGACAGGGTTTCATCATGTTGGCCAGGCTGGTCTCAAACTCCTGATCTCAAGTGATCCACCCGCCTTGGCCTCCCAAAGTGCTGGGATTACAGGTGTGAGCCACCACACCCAGCCACAATAAGCAATATCTTAATCAGTTTTTAAATTCATGAATTCAGCTCTTACTGTGTCTGATGTGTAATTTTACACTTCTTTTCAGTTCTTTCTTTTAAAATTCAATTTCTGCTTTGCCATATTGCTCTTTAGAAATATGTGGCATAAGGCTTAAAACCATAGCAATGCAAAAAACTATTTTTGGAACTCATTTAAATTTGTGTTTGCTGGAATTTATATTTCTATGGAAACAAAAATGAACCCAAAACTACACAATAGATAAGACTGTTTCAAACAAAGAACAAAGTCCCATCCCTGAGGGCTCTTATAGGCTATAAGCCCCAGGAACAGAGGACAACACACAGAAACCCGAGTAGGAAGGAGGTCCTAGGCCAGGGGCGGGGGAGCCAGTAACAAGATGGCTTCTTGGAATAGATGGGTTTTCTGGATGGTTTTGAAGAGAGGAATGCAAAGGGCCACCCATTGATGGTATGCTGTCCTATATGTCAAAGTTTAGGGGGAAAAAAGTCATAAGGACTAGTGTGGGCAATAAGACAAAGGAGGCAGTTAGGAGGGACATTTAAAGGGAGTGGACAGAAGGGCCCACATGGACAGAGCCGGAGGCCTTGGGAGGTGGCGAGGGCTTGCACCCAGGCAGGGAAGCAGGCTGCAAGGAGAACTGTGTCAAAACCTGAGAGGAGGGCATGTTCGATGACAGACTGCGGGGATGCTTGAGTTTCAATGAAAAGGATAAATAGGGAAAGGGTCTCATGACAGCAAAAGAAAACGCAGTCAGAATTTCATTAATGGATCCATATATATGGCATATATTCACATATATTATATATGTGAAACCAGAATGCTAGAATGGAGCCACCAATTTTTCAAGGAGTATAAGGTCTATGCTACGAGAAGGGGACAGAAAACATGTGAGGAATGGACAAATATCATAGCACGTAGAATGACAGTAAAGCACTTGGTAGGCAAGTAGAACAAACCCTGTGACAAAAAAATTCAACTTAAAATGGTAGCAAAACAGCCACTATAAAATCTAAAACAGAAAACAAAAATAAGGCCCTAAACAGAGGAAGTCTTGAAAAAAATGGAAAGTGATCATAATTAATAGATTAACAAAGCATAGAATTCTAAAGATGATATAGACATCATCACATTGATCTCTTCTTGGTATGTGAGGGAGGGAATACCTTAAATTTATGTTTTTAAAAAATATCTCAGAAAAAAAAGACAAATTTGTCACAATCCTTATTTCCATAAAGGCTTTTTAAATATTTAACATCAAAGGCAAGAGAGGGAAAAAATTGTTTTTAATTTTCACATATCCTCTCTTACTCTTCTACAGGACAAAGTAATATATACCCAAGACCACTCCAGCCTGGGCGGCAGAGCAAGACTCCATCTCAAAAAAAAAATATATATATATATATATATATATACACACACACCCAGGACTTTGGGTTGTGTTTCTTTGGTTTCAATACTATCATGTAAATTATAATAAAATAGCAGCAAAAATATATTACATGTCTCCTTCAATTTGGAATCAAGTCTCTTTTGGGTAATTCAGAACTAAAATGTTTCTATAGGGTTCTTACATGATAATTCCTACTAGAGGCATCAAGGAATTTACAATTATTTGATTTGTCTCGGCTCCTGAAGAATCCATTCATTCTGTATACTCATGTCCATTAAATTCCACTAAAGTCTATTCTACAATAAAAGGGAGTAAACTTCTGATACAGAAAACAAGCCTGATGAGTTTGAAAATCAGTATGCTGGGTACGAGAAGCCTGACACAAAAAGAATACATACTATTTGAGTTTGTATAAAATTCTAGAAAGTATACACTAATCTAGAGTCACAAAAGTCAGATCAGTAGCTCAGGAGCAAAGGAGGTCTTACAAAGAGACATGAGGCAATTTGGGGAGGTGATGGAAATGTTCTCTGTCCCAATTGTGTTGGTAGTTTCACACGTGCGTACCTATGTCAAAAGCTCATGGAATTGTGCACTTTAATTTGATGCAGTAGTATACTTAAATCACACCTAATTAACTTATTTAAAAAGTCAACTACATAATTATTTCAAAATAAAAAGTTTAAAAATTCAACTAAAGATGTAATACAAAGGGATTAAATAAAGAATTTTTCCAATGATCTCATCAAGAGTCAAGTTCTGGGCCAGGCGCTGTGCCTCACACCTGTAATCCCAACACTTTGGGAGGCCGAGGCGGGTGCATCACCTGAGGTCAGGAGTTTGAGAACAGCCTGGCCATCTCTACTCAAAAAAAAAAAAAAAAAAAAAAAAAATTAACCGGGTGTGGTGGCAGGCGCCTGTAATCCCAGCTACTTGAGAGGCTAAGGCAGGAGAATCGATTGAACCCCGGAGGCAGAGGTTGCAGTGAACTGAGATGGCGCTGCTGCACTCCAGCCTGGGCGGCAGGAGCGAAACTCCGTCTCAAAAAAAAAAAAAAAAAAAAAAGTCAATTTCTGCCTTCTAGATGGTGGCAATTTGAAACATTGAAAGTTGGTATACCATTCTTTGAAGAGCCTAATAAGCACTTTGGATCCTGGAAGTGTTTGGAAAGCAGCACCTCCTTCTAAGAAGCGGTTTATTGATGGAGCTTCCATCTGAACAAACAAGTTGAAATCACAAATGCTAAACAAACAAGTTGAAGTCACCGGATGCTAAGGAAGAGCAGTATTATTCAGTGATTTTCTGGTTCCCCAGGAACAGACAAACAGTTTTGCTTCCAGTCTACTGCCAAAAGCCTGTGTTCTCAGTGAAGAAAGTGCTCTCAGCGAGGCAAGTGCTCTCAGCGAGGGTGTATCTGGTGGGAATATGAACAACCTGAGCCTAGATATGAGGCCAAAAAAGGAGCTGCCTTTCCTGCATCTTCTATGGTCAGCTATTATCCATCTTAAGGGTAAAGATGAATAAGTACCAACAGCCTACTCATGATCACATCACCAGGATTCTCTCCTGCACCTGCTGGAGCCCTCCGTTTTATGTTTAGTGGTAAGGACCCCTTAAGTCATGGCACAGGCAAGGCTAAGTGTTAGCCAGGAACCACTACAAATTTCCTTTTCATGCAAAAGAGCTGCTCAGAATGAGCGCTTACCTTGAGCACTGCAGGGCTGGGGCCATCAGCTCTATCTCTGATCTAGGCATAACTCTCCCATTTACCCCGAATCCCCAAGGAAAAAAGGCTAGAAACAGTAGTAATTTTAGAGGAGGGCTGCTACTAAACTGTTTTAGAGCAGTTCTGATTGAGAAAATCTTTTTTTTAAAAGCAGTTACTATTTCCTCTCTCAATATGCTTTTATAGGGTTAAACATGCAAACTGTGAGGTCTTCACTGGTCTTAAATTTTCAACTACAAAATGGGTATAATAACAGTACCTACATCATAAGATTGTGGCAAACATTGAACAAAATAAAATATATAAAGTGAGCAGGAAAATGCCTAATACAGAGAGAGTACTCAATACATAAGAGCTATTATTTAGGTAAGAAAACCTCAGATCTTATACTGAAAACAACAGGGAGTTAAAAAGTAAGAGTAATGTTGAGAAAAGGATCAACGGATAAGACAAAAGGAGCAAAACAGTCTCTGAAATAGAGCCTGAGTTTTCTATGCAAGCTGTAGAAAACAGCCATACGAAATGCTCAGTACATAAAGGACACATAAAGGACACTTTTGCCTTCCTGTCTCAGGAAATCAAAGAAATCCAAGTTTTGAAGAAAATCAATTTTTAACATTCAGCCAATCAGCCAATTTATCTCTAGGAGTTTTCTCCTTGAGATATATTGCGAAGAGGGATTTCCTTTTGATTGTGGTGCCGTGTGTTTTACAAGGCAGCAAGGAAAGGCTTTTACACACAGCTGAGCAACAAACAAAGAAAAACTGACCAGACCAATCAAGTGGGACTCATTGATTTGATGGTAGAAACTGTTGATTGACTGCAGGTTGCAGATGATTTTAAATTGGATGGGCTTGTGAACATCTAAGAAACAAGGAGGTAATTTTAAAAATTGGAAGTCTGTGAACTTTGAGTAGCATAATATAACGATAGGTGAGACAGAGTCAAAAATACTCATTTAGAAGAGTAAGAATGTCAAAATTATGTCAAAAATATCTGTATAGACATGGAATGGGAAAAGACCAACTTAGTACAAATATAGCCTAACACCACAAGTTGAAAACAACCTGAATATAAGTCAGCAATGTTCATGATTGTAGGCTGTATAAACAGGAACCTAAGGTATATGATTGGAAAGTAACCCCTTCCAAAATCCTCAGCATCAGCCAGCAATAAAGTTAAGAATGCAATTCCAGGGAATTAGCCTGGAGGTTTTCCAGATTATCTGGAGTAAACTGCCAAGAAAGTGGAGTGACACTTCAGAATGATTCTTCTTTCTGTTTTCAAGGTGAATTCTCATTTTCTCCATCTTTTTGACCCAGTTTCTCTTCTTATGGAATTTACAACAAATATGTCAATATTATGTTGATAACTGTATATCAACCCATTATGTACCTACCAGGCGATCTTGAATTTTATCTACAAGTGTTGGATCACTCAACAGTAAAGGGGGTTCGCTGGATGAATCCCCAGAAATCAAACGAAGTTTGGCTTCATTGACTACTGTAGAAAGTCCAATGGTGATAAACGATATTCCTGAAATTCTGGCATCTTCAGAAATACTTTGAACATCTGGATTCTTTGGATGGTCAATGCCATCAGTCATCAGCAAAGCCACTTTCACACCATCCTTACGCCCTTCTCTCTTAAGTAGCCTAGTGGCATTGGAGATGGCATAATAAGAGAAGGTACCTTGCCCTATTAAATTCATAGACTTAACCTTCTGCTTAAATGTCTGCAGGTCCTTCCAAGAAGAAAAAGGTGGATCAATTTGGACAGAGCTGCTAAACTGAAGGGCTGCCAGTTTGATGTCATATTCCAAGGAACGACCAGGAGTCAATTGGAAAATCTTGTCACTCAAGCTATCCACAAAATCTTTCTGTTTATCAAAGAGGACAATTTTAGAACTTTCAGAGCTGTCCACGATGAAGACAATATCTATGAAACAAATGGAGCCTGAAACAGAGTAAACAGGTTAGGCAAAATAATTATTCATATCATGAAAGAAATTTGCATAAGGAAAGCCCTGAAGTGGTGTGTTGTATATTGTTTGGTGTTGAGAGCAGCGTGAGGAGAGTAAGAGAGACATGTTGGACAGAAAGCTTAAATTGTAAAAAACTAAATGTCTAAGTTTATAAATTATATTCTCCTTGTAAAATCATGCAAATTAAAATAAATAAGATATCATATATTCTGAGCATCTTTTCAATGTTAAACCTGCTGAAAGTGGGAGGAAATTGGAAGTCAAGATGCATCATATTTTAAAAATCCGACTAACACTGAGCATAGCTGTCTAGAAGTAAATGATACTCTAATTCTCAGGTTGTGTCATATTGGTGAGTCCCTATGTTTTTTTTAACTTACTTGAAATCAAGGTAGAAAATGACTATACCCCTTATACCAAGAGTAAGTGGGGAAGAAACCTAACTTAAACACAACTTAAGTTTAAATCCCAGCTCTGTATCTCACTAGTTAATTTGTCTATGGCCTTGAGTATGCCACTCAACCTCTTAAGACCTCATTTTTTTTTTTATCTATACTATGAGTAGTAATCTCCATCCTGCCTATTTTACAAGGTTACTGTGAGGCTCAAATGAGATAATAGGTGCACAAGTGCTCTTATTAAAACTTCTGATGTGCTATAAGTATGTCAGGTATATTAGCATCATATAATTTTATCAAAGTCGACTACCACATGTATACATGTATATGGCTTGCTATTTATATCAAATGCTATTTAGAAAAATTCACAAAAGTATTTTTAACAGGCTAAACTTAAAAACAAACACATTTATTTTTACCCTGGACATCACTTTTCCTTGCAAGCAAATTTGGCTTTGGTCCTTTCTTTCTTTGTCCGGATACTGTTTGACTCATAAACGCTGACAAAAGCAGGGTACAGAAGACAAAATATCTGTTCCACATTATGGTAGATGGTGAAAAATCATCTGCCTTGTAGCACCTTTAATAGAAAAGTCAGTTACAAATACTTTAATAAAATATGGTGTTTGTTATTTTAAAATTTCAAGCCAGCAGAGTTGAAAACTGTCATGTGACTGGAAAAAAAGAGGTTTTCATTCATATTTCTAGAAAAATATTCACATTGAGATTTTAAAAGATTTAAATCCAAATAAATCATGGTACCATGACCAAACATTTATTAGTGAGTGTTTCTACATATTCAAAGAACTATATTTAAGTATTCTTAATTCCCCATTGTATTATGAGGAGCATAGAGTTGGGAGAGCCATTTAAAAACATTTCATTCCCACTCTGTATGAGTACTGTGGTTCAGTCACAGGGTCTGCTTTGACATTTCCAAATTCTTTGGGGTGAATTCAGATTGCTATGTGGTCATTTCATTCACTTTCATTATAACTGATTCCTGACAAATCTAGTATTTTGTAGAATTGTAGATAACCACCACCCTTTCAGGCTTAATACTACACACATAACTTCAGTGAGTTTGGAGGTCAAAGTAAAAATTAAATTGCCCTTCTGTTTCCATAGAACCCCATTTCTCTTTTCTACCCTACCTTTGGAAACTTTGTCTCCACCAGGGGTTCAAAGCCGCATATCCAATGAATCAAAAGAATATGAGAGCAAAAAAAAATAGATTTGCTTAAAAGCAACACTTTTCTTCTAGGGATGGCTAAAAGAACTAGTGAACAGAAACAGGACTTAAAGCCAAGAAGCACCCACTCTGAATAGCCCTGTGAAACTATTTTTCTGGGTAGATTAACAATGAAAAATCTAATTCTATATTAAAATCCTCAATCTTCATCAGTCAATATGCCTAGCTACACACCAAATGGCTCTTAAACTCACAGATTTCCCTGGGAGGAGAAGACTCATGTGCCGCTGCCTCAGTATACCCAAGAGAATGGCAACGAGAAAGCTTATTTCAAATCAATATTTAGTATGGCTTAAAAATGCCTGCTGGCTGAAACTATATTGACTTCAGGAGTTCTGGAAAAGGAATCACATTTTCCTTCTTTGGCACCTTGCCTTTAGGGGATAAGAATCTAGGAAATCATGAGCACGATTTTTCCAGACTCTGAATAGAGGGTGGAAATATATGCAAAGGCAGTGAGGAGTGAGATGGAGACTGACTTTTTTCATACATGCCAGATGGATAAACCCCAAAGAGAAACAAAACTGTTGGGTTAGAAGAGAACCAATGGATGGCTTCATGCCACAGTCTGCTCCTCACATAGCATCATCCAGCTGGAAGTTTATTAAAAGAACTTCGGATAGGTATGATCAAACATCTTGGGTAGCAATTGGCCAAATGCCAACTGATCCTCAGACAATGTATACCAAAATGTAAAGAGAGCTGGGTATTAAAAACAAAACAAAACAAAACCAAGAAGTGTGCTAAGGAAACAGAACACACAAAGGCCGTCTCTCCTCAAGTTATCCCTTTGCTAAGCAAGGAAAAAAATTAAATGATGTACAACTTTAAGTCTGAAGGTTAGTGTAAAGATAAGGCTATATGAAAAACACAGTTGTTATTGCATTTTCAAAGGGGAAAGGGAATAACACCATGGCCATGGTATTACATATGACTTTTCTCTTTGGTTGAGTTCATACCATAAGGAACATCTCAGAAGTTCTGGAAACAAGAGACTGAGAATTGAATTCCATTGAGAACTGAGCAAGATTTTATAAGCAACATAATCAAGCAACTCTTCAAAACCCTTCATGTAAGGTTTTAGAAACACTGGCTTTAAATAAAGATTTATCTTTTCCCAAAACTAAGCACCTGCTGTTACTGTTTTCTTGGCATATAATCATGAATTCGTACCTGACCCCTGTATATATGATATTCACAAACATAACTTTTCCACTGATAATAATCACAATATATCATATTTTATTCTCATTTGCTGTGACATTTTTAATCTAGCGCTCCCAAACCAAAGTCTTGTTTTTCTTTCTGTTTCCCTATTGTAGCCAGAGGAAATTTTCATACCTCTCTAGTTTTGTTTCTCTAGTTTGTTAGTTCTACTGCTTCCCTGAAATATCTTTCTCCTTTATTAATTTGGCATCTTGAGAGCCCACTCATTTCTTATCACTTTTTACCATGTTTTGTTTTGCCTCTGTCTTTAATAATTCTCACCTTTCTCTCTTTCTGATGTCACATATAAGCAAAATAGGTTTCAGATAAAAACAGTGCCCTTAGTTAAGTGAAGGAAATGTGAACCTCCGTGTTTCCTATAGGTTAAATTTTATAAATGCAGAAACAATCATAATTTGTAATCAAATACCATATTTTTACTTTTGGCCTAAAATTTATTTGGGGTAAATATCAGGATCAATAAATAAATCCAAGATACTTTATTTTTTATAATTTTTCAAAAATAAAATGATCTTATAGCAGAGTTCACCAACTTTAGTTACAATGTTTGCATCTCAGTTTCTACACAAATATAAAATGATTGAATAAAGACTTCATTCAAATTGACAGATTAGCCAAGTTGTAAAGTATTCTATAACTAATTCTAAATTGTAAACCTTGTTCCAAATTGAGAAAAAGATGTCCTAAAATATATTAACATCATTGTAAAACAATTTAGAAGACTGTAAGTTAAAAATCAATTTCAAAATAACTTTAAATTTTAAATTTCTACATTTTAACAATGTTAATATTTTTCTAATAATTGATTTGAAGTAATTGCAGAGAACACAAACTTTTGGCAAGCTTTCTTCACCTAATAAGTATGTAAGTCATTTAGTCTTCCACAGTTCCTTGATGGTCCTGTCTGATTTCAAGTGACTAAAATAAATCCGTTATGTCTTACCTTATTAAGTTTGTCAAACAGGAATTAAAGACTAGTTGAGTAAATGCCAACAGCAAGGACTGTGGTAGGGGGTGAAGTTAGCTATTTGATATTGTTCTGTTCTGTGGGAAATAAAAGTCTTTGCTTTAGGATCTTTTGCAGTCTTTTATTCATGTTTATTCGACTAAGTTAAAGCAAGAGTGGTCAGGCATTTGGCCAGGGTGCAAGATCTGGGTGGGATCAGTAAGCAATTTAAAGGAACAGTGTCTTTCAGAATGAGACTGTGTTTTCCAGACTATTGTAAAAACAACTTGAGAGAACTTTCTACATTTTAGGCATTGGTTGACAGCCTGCCTTTTTTCTCATGCTATGTCCTTCTCTTTTTATTGCTACATTTCTTTGCCTGGGGGATGTGCTCTAAGATACTGGTTCTGAACATCTCTGTGAAGGAGTATAAATGACACCAGACTCAGATTCAAAGCTGTTTTTCCAAGAGAGGTAACAGTTTGATTGTTATTAAAGCTGAATGATGAGTACGTAGGTGTGCATTGTTCTAGTCTTTGTATTTCTGTGATTTTTGAAATTTTTTATAATAAAAGGTATATATAATATACAAGGAAAGAGTGGTCTGAGTACAGTCACAGTTCTGCCCCTGACTCTTATGGGGGCTTCAGTTTCCCACTTACGAAATGAGAGAGTGAATTTAATCATTTATTAAGATGTGTTCAAACTGTAACATGAGAGGTTTACAGCGGTTAATATTTTGGTCTCTATCTAGGAGAGGAGGTCACTGTGGTTTTTCCACTGTCTTTTTCCCTATTTTCTACCTTGTGGTTACAGCCCATATTAAGTCAATGTTTATCAGTGTAATATGTACTGCAAAGAAGCCACTTGACCCCTAGACAACTAACAGGCAGGCTTCTCCATGGACTTCCTCTGAAATAGAGAATAGCAAGATCATCCAAGAAAGCAATATAAATGTTCATGTTACGATTATTTAAAATGAACTTTCTTAGGCATTTTAATGTGTATGAATTTCCTTATTATAGCAATAATAGTCTCCAATTCATGGACACTTACCAGGTGCTAGGCACTGTCCTGAGTGCTTCACACCCATTACCTCATTTAGTCCTTCACAAGAACAACCACAGTCCTCACTTAACATCCTCCGTAGGTGCTTGGAAACTGTGACATAAAGTGAAACAATAGATAATGAAGCCAATTTTCCCATGAGCTAATTGATATAAATAAGAGTTAAGCTCCTATGGCATATTTCTACTCACAAAAACATCACTAAACCTCTAAATAAAGACTCAAAAAACCTCTAATATTAAACCTTGGAATAAATCTAAGCCATACATACATTTATGAAAGATTGATAAAAACAAGATAACTGTTTACCTCCATATTCCAGTTCAGGGTCATGGTTGACCAGATCCTGTCCCAGCAGCTGAGGGTGCAAGGCAGGCACCAGCCCTGGACAAGATGCAATCCTGTCACAGGGCACTCATACACCCACCTACTCTCTCAGACAGGGACCCATGTAGACACACCAATGCACCTAAGAGCTGTGGGATGTGGGAGGAAACCCCAGGACCTGGAGAAAACCCACACAGACATGGGGAAAACATGTCAACTCCACACAGTCAGCCTGGTCCAGGAATTGATTTTTTTTCTCTCATCCAATGTTATAACAAAATGACATTGAACAAAACATTATTCCAGGACCCCTTGTACTTATAGTAGAAGTTGTAAGAATTCAAATTTTTCCAAGACGGAGGCAGAGAGAGGTTCTGTAACTTGTCCACTGTCATACTAAAACTAGAGAATGGCAAAATGAACTTTTAACTCAGGTTTATAAGACGTATGAGCCTCACTTATAACAACTACTGTGTCATTAAGTATCCATGTGAATGTTTGTGTTTCACTGTCTCCTCCTCACAAAACAGGTTTTGAGGAACTGAGGAAGTTTCGTGAGGCTTTGGTAACAGAAAGAAGAAACAGTGGGTATAATGCAGAAGTAACAGTGGAATTTCCTAGCGAACAACCATGTATTTACTTGGTAACCTGTGGGTGTTAATCACACTTTTTACTTTTGTGAGATGAGAATCAAGAGACAAGGAAGTAGCATCTTTTCAGATCAACTCTCTTTTTGCTGAGGCAGGTTAACAACATGCAGAATAATAATGCCACTAAGAAGCAAACAAGTAATTCCTGGATGGGGGAAATGGACTAAAGCCCTTCTGCTTTGGAGCTGTTTTGATTAAAGTTGGTAGGAGGTTGGAGTCCAGGTTACTCATCCATTCCCTTTCTCCAACATTAAATAGGGTAACTCAAACCAAAGATTTGCCACCTCTCATTCCCAAGCATGAAAATCAGCACTAAGTTGATTGGGAAGATTATGCAAAATAAAATCTTCAGTTTTGTCAATCTATAAAAGGCAATTAGTTTTGCACCCAGAGAAACAATGCGCCACCGCAATCCTAATCCCAACAGATGGTCTTGAATTAGTATGCTATTGGACACACAGCAGACCAAATAAGAGAACATGGATAACCCTAATGACTAGAAAAAGGCAATGTGGAGTCCATGCCCTTCTGACAGTTATTTTGTAGTAAAGTCTTTCTAGAAGAAATATAGCATACTATTTTCATTGTTACTACTATAAATAGCCCAGAGTAAGCACTCATATTTGTGAAATGAATGATTATTAGAAGTAATTTTTAGTGTTTATCAATCACTTGAGGTCTATGATACAATAAATTGCTCTTCTCCAAAGCTCTGCTAGATGAAAATCTTTTTTCAACTTTTTCAAATTCTTTGAATATGCTACTATAGTAGGATCTGCATTGTGTTTATTGATTCTAGTACCAGTGCCAACATCTTAATTTCAGTGGTGATGGTATTTTGGGGTCCTAGAATCATTTAAAAAGAGACAAGTCTGCTAGGACTTACATATTTCAGAGAATTTTATCTGCATTAAGTCATAGAAATACAACAAAAAAAGGCTGGTAACAAATCAAAGTTATACATTTCAACCACGATTAAGGCATAGTATAGTTTCACAAGCTTCTCCCTATTTTAGCCACCTCCCACACTGCTGATCTAGAGAAGAAAAAAAAAATTACCAACTAACAAGGAAGAAATGAATGACCTTCGTACCTATTTGAAGAAATTTGTTCTTGAAGGTCCTTTTCTTTTCTTTTCCTTTTCTTTTCTTTCTTTCTTTCTTTCTTTCTTTCTCTTTTTCTTTCTTCCTTTCTCTTTTTCTTTCTTCTTTTTGTCAGTAGAAAAGTTGATATAGTAGAATTTCTAACACTTGCCCCAAAGCTCTGAAATTTCTGGGATTCATTATCCTTGGACCCAGAATATGACTAAGGCATTCTCTCAACTCCTTCATCAGAAATTAGAAGGATACTGCTTTAGTCCATTTTGTGTTGCTATAAAGGAGTACCTAAGGCTGAGTAATCTATAAAGAAAAGAGGTTTATTTGGCTTACAATTCTGCAGGCTGTGCAAGAAGTATGACGCCAGGATCTGCTTCTGGTGAGGGCCATTGACTGCTTCTACTCATGGCAAAAGGTGAAAGGGGGTCAGTGTGAGAGGATCATATGGTAAGAGAGGGAGCAAGAGAGCAGGGAGCGAGGTGTCAGACTCTTTTAAACAATCAGCTTCCCCAGGAACTAATACAGAGAGAACACACTCATTATCGCAGGGATGGCACCAAGTCATTCATAAGGGATCCACCGACATGACCCAAACGTTTCCCATCAGGCCCCACTTCCAACAGTGAGGATGAAATTTCAACACAAGGTTTGGAGGGGGCAAATATCCAAACCACAGCAAACACCAAAACTGTATTGGTCTTATTTGTTAACAAAGGGAAAGATTAAAAGCATTCAAAGACAATAAAAAAATAAAAATTATCATTGGTAATAAAATATAGGATGTGGCATTGCTTAAATCTGGAACAGCGTGACTTCAGTCCCTATTCCCTCACCAAATTCTGATTGAGTTGATCCTTCCACATTCCCTCCACTATTTTTCAATTGTTACTATTATTTAATAAACTTTATGGTTTAGAGCAGTTTTGGTGTACAGCAACATGGACTCAATTATATTTTATATTGTTTACTCCCTAAGATCTCTTGCTTCATTATTTGTCATTCAATCCCCAGCTTGAATAATTGCATCACATCTGCAACACACAGTGCCTCGTAGGCTATAGTGACAGGCTAAATTCCCTGTCTTATGACTATTAATCTCTTTTTCTAAAATGTTTCTTCAATATTAATATTTCTTCTTCCCATGTTGTTTATTCCTTACAAAATGCAATTATTTTAGACCCCCCCCCCAAAAAAAAATCAAGGTGCCATCTGGAAAATGTTACAATTTTTTTCCTAAGAAATATCTGAAAGTAGATTGATCTAGTCCTATCATAGGTTTGAATGTTCAATATTTTTCTTTAATTATTTTCTTTGGTCAGTGGATAGAGGAGTTTTTTGTTTTTTGTTTTTTGTTTTTTGAGACGGAGTCTCACTCTGTCGCCCGGGCTGGAGCGCAGTGGCCGGATCTCAGCTCACTGCAAGCTCCGCCTCCTGGGTTCACTCCATTCTCCTGCCTCAGCCTCCCAAGTAGCTGGGACTACAGGCGCCCACCACCACGCCCGGCTAGTTTTTTGTATTTTTTTAGTAGAGACGGGGTTTCACCGTGTTCGCCAGGATGGTCTCGATCTCCTGACCTCGTGATCCGCCCGTCTCGGCCTCCCAAAGTGCTGGGATTACAGGCTTGAGCCACCGCGCCCGGCCGGATAGAGCAGTTTTAACTTTTCATGCAGAGCCTACAAATAGAGAAAGATCAGGTCTATTTACCCCTTGACTAAATCCTGCTTTAAATGGAAAAGTATTTCTATTTTTCACTGAGTTCGTTTTACTTTCAGGTATTAGACAGTGTTGTTCTAGATGTTGGTGAAGTCTTTGATTACCACTGATTGGTATTTAAACTTTTCTTGTCTAGGGGACAAACGATAGTGTCAAATATCTGAACTGGAAGGAAACTTAGCAACCACTTTTATTTAATTCTGCCATTTCACACTTGATAAAATAGAGGACAGATATTAAGACCCACCCAAAAGTCAAATCATTAATCAGTGAGGGAATAAAGTTTAGGTCTTTGTACATCAAAGTGGTCATCTTTCATTATCTCTAAATGCCCTAGAAAAATTTCAGGCCTTTGTGCTATCCAGGCTTGTGCTTGAGTAGGAGAAAAAGGAGGCTGTACGGCTAATAATTTATATTTGTAAGGATTTAACTTTAGTGGTAAATGGCTCAGAACAAATCATCATGGGCTAAGTTCCAGCACATTAAAGAGTCTCACCTCTCTGTGTCAATCTTAATGCCTGGGCCATTAAAGGCAATGAACACCACCTCTTCGAACCCTGGG